TTTTTTAAGACAGAGTCTCGCTCTGTCACCTAGGCTGGAGTGCAGTGGCAGGATCTTAGCTCACTACAACCTCTGCCTCCCAAGTTCAAGCGATTCTCCTGCTTCAGCCTCCCGAATAGCTGGGATTACAGGCACACAACACCATGCCTGGCTAATTTTTTAATTTTTAGTAGAGACAGGGTTTCACCATGTTGTCAAGCTGGTCTGGAACTCCTGACCTCAAGACATCCACCTGCCTCAGCCTCCCAAAGTGCTGGGATTACAGGCGTGAGCCACCATGCCCGGATGTTTTTTGACTTTTTAATAGCCATTCTGAGTGGCATGAGATGGTGTCCCTGTGGTTTTGATTTGTATTTTTCTAATGATCAGTGATGTTGAGCTTTTTTTCATATGTTTTTTCGTCACATGTATGTTTTCTTTTGAGAAGTGTCTGTTTATGTCCTTTGCCCACTTTTGGAGGCTTTCTTTTTTTTTTTTTTTTTGAGACAGAGTCTGGCTCTGTCGCCCAGGCTGGAGTGCAGTGGCGCAATCTCGGCTCACTGATTCAAGTCCTCCACCTCCCACGTTCAAGCGATTCTCCTGCCTCGGCCTCCTGAGTAGCTGGAATTATAGGCACTCACCACCATGCCTGGCTAATTTCTGTATTTTCAGTAGAGACAGGGTTTCACCATGTTGGTCAGGTTGGTCTCAAACTCCTGACCTCATGATCCGCCTGCCTCAGCCTTCCAAAGTGCTGGGATTGCAAGCGTGAGACCCCAAGCCCAGCCCCTTTGCCCATTTTTTAATGGGGTTGTTTTTTTCTTGTAAATTTGTTTAAGTTCCTGTCACAAGACTTTAAATTATAAAATAGGACCTGCAGTTCCCTGTAAAGGAAAATGTTCTATAAATTCTGTAATGATCTTCTGGATAGCCAGGTGCGGTGGCTCACGCCTGTAATCCCAGCACTTTGGCAGGCCAAGACGGGCTGATCACCTGAGGTCAGGAGTTTGAGACCAGCCTGGTCAACATGGTGAAACCCCGTCTCTCCTAAAAATACAACAAAATTAGCTGGGTGTGGTGGTGCATGCCTACAATCCCAGTTACTCAGGAGACTGAGGCAGGAGAATCACTTGAACCCAGGAGGTGAATGGAGGTTGCGGTGAGCCGAGATCGCACCATTGCACTCCAGCCTGGGCAACAAAAGCAAAACTCTGTCTCAAAAAATAAAAAAGGGGTCTCGTGGATAGCATAATTGTATTGCAATTTTGTGTGAAAAAGTGTTAATCTGGCTGGGTGCAGTGGCACCCACCTATAATCCCAGCACTTTGCGGGGCCTAGACAGGAGGATTTCTTGGGGCCAGGAGTTCGAGACCAGCCTGGGAAAGACGGTCTGGAAAAAAAAAGAAAAAGTTAATTTATCAAATGTAAACGTGCCTGTTTTTCATTTCCAAGTGTATCTGAAACCTCCACAGACAGTAGGGACCTAGACTTCTCTCCATCTTTCAGAAGTCCTGTCTCCAAGGGAGCAGTTGCTGAGATCTGTGGGTCATTTCCCACCCTGCCCCTGGCCCCCTGCAAAGGCTGGGGTGGGAATAGCTGGCTCTTCAAACCCTGCCAAAAGCTCTGAACTCTGCCTTTTGCCAGTGGTCAGGCCTCCTCCACCTGACCCTTCACCTGAGGTGATGGGATGCCTAACCATAGGGCCAACTGGGGGGGCTTCTCTCTCTGCCTCTGCAGGAACTCAACCAAATAGCATTTACAGAGCAACCTCTGTGTGGCCAGCTGGCTTTCAGCCCTGGGGGTGGGAGGTGCGGGGGTGGAGTTGGGAACCTGATCCTGATCCCGGCACTACCCCCTGAGGAACCTCCAGTCTGCTGGGAGAAAAGCAAAGAAAGGTACCTAAAGCAGAGCTATTAAGCACCCCAACTGTGCCTATGTGAGAGTCCCACCATTGTTTGCTTGGGAGGCAGATCCTAGTAAGCCTAAGTCAAGGAGGAGTGCGCACAGGGCAGGCCAGCCCGGAGGTCCCCGAGGGCAGGGCCTCCAGGCTTCCCATTCTTTCCAGGTTCCCACAGCGCTCAGGCCCCACTGGGCTCACAATAAGCTTCAATGACCGCTTTTGACTGAACCTTTCGCCTTTGTATCTGTCTCTGTGTCTCTCGGCATCTCTGTCTCTACGGGTCTCTGGCTCTCTCTTGTTTCCCAACATCCTTCCCGAGCCCCTGGGGAGCAGAGCTGGGGGAGCCCGGCAGTGGGAACGGGACAGCGTCCTGTTCTCACCAAGGACAATAAGGGCCGGAAAGGGCTGGAGCCAAGGCCTGGCGCAGACTCCCCCTCCCTGCCTGCCCTGGGCGCCCCCCCGCCCCCCCCACGCCCTGACCCGCCTAAGTGCCAGTCCTCAGGGACTCAGCCTCCTTGCCCTTGGTCTCACATTCCCACTGCCCTCCCTTTTCTCTGGAGGCATCACTTCTGCCCCCAGGAACCCACAGAGCCAGTGCCCTCCCACTGTCCTCCACACTCCCCGCAGCCCCATCCCCTGCATTATTTACTCCTATTTCCGGAGCTGGCTGTGGGCGCCAGCGGGTGTCAGGGCCACGTGTGAGGGAGCAGGAGGAAACATCTGGCTTCCCTCTGTCCCCCAGTGGCGGGGATGCCTCTCTCTCCCTCAGGCCTACCGCCTCCTCTGGGGTGGAACTGAGCCCCAGGAGTCCAGGGGCCAAGAGGTTAGCACCTTTGCCCTTCTCACCCTCAGGGCTCTGGCAGCCATGGAGTCCTCACACCCCCTTACTTAATTATGGTGATTAGGTGGCTGTGATACCCCTGCCAGGGTTAATTGGCAGGTCAGGTGCAGCCAGCCTGCAACCAGGCAGGGTGCAGAGCTGCGGCGTTGGCGCCAACCTGCCTTGTAAATGCACTCATTCCTTGAGGAAGGCGTCATTATTCCTGGACCACATGCTGCCCCTGGTGCCTATGCAGTGGGTGGCAGCAGGTGCTCAGATCCCTTGGCACTGCCCTGGCACCTGCTCTCCGGCTCTTCCCCACTCTCTTCTAGCCATAGAGATGATAACTCCCTGCTGGTCCCCACCCAAGCCAGCTCTCGTTGTGGAAGGCATGGTGCCCTCTGCTGGCTGGATCCCTAGACTCCCCACCCACCCCGCGCCACCCTCTTCCCCACTCCCCTCCCTAGGCTGTGTCTGTGCTCACCTGCTCTGGAACCTGACCCTCTGCCCAGTGCTCCCACTTTGGGTTAGAGCAAAGTCGAGGTTTGACAGTGAGACTTAGAACCAACCCAGCCTCCCCTTAAGCCCAGAGACCAACTTGGACAACCTCGTCCTCTCCCACAGGGTCTCATATATCACAACCCACTGCCCTTCCCAACCATCAATACGGTGAGTCAGAGTTTAGAGTGGCCATCCTCTCAGGGAGGCGCTCTCTGGTCTCCACTGAACTTTCCGCCTCCAATCCCAGCCTAGGGGGAGAAGAGGCTTAATTCAGGATTCAGTCTTTCCAAATGGACCAGTCTTTTGAGTCTTCCAAGAAGGCTGGCTTCCACACTGACAGACCCAGCAGCAACTAATGCCACTCCCGGCCCTCAGGGTTAGCTTGTCTGGGAGGGTGCCGCTAGCCTCCAGGAGGGAGACCTGAATCCATAGCGCCCCCTGCAGGCGTCTTGGATAAACTGCCTAGCACTTCCTCCTTGGCCAGGTTACAGAAGGGCAAGTATCTAGGGTTCTGACCAAAGATGGGAGTGGGGTGGGGTGGCCTCTAATCCTTGACCAAAACTCATCTACTCACTTCTTCACCTTCACTGGGTCTTATTCCCTAATTCAGGCACCTATGGACAGGATTTTGTTTGTCAGGACAGGTTATTTCATTCAACCCACCCACCTTTTTTTTTTTGAGACAGAGTCTCACATTCAGGCTGCAGTGCAGTGACACAATCTCCACCCACTGCAACCTCTACCTCCTGGGTTCAAGCGCAGATGGTGCCTCAGCCTCCCAAGTAGCTGGGACTACAGGCACACAACACCACACCGGGCTAATTTTTGTATTTTTCGTAGAGATGGGGTTCCCCATGTTGGCCAGGTTAGTCTCAAACTCCTGACCTCAAGTGATCCACCCACCTCGGCCTCCCAAAGTGCTGGGATTTCTGGCTTGAGCCACCGCGGCTGGCCCAACCCACTGTCTTTATTGTCCATTATCAGGCTCTGGAAAAGACAAAACTGACCAAGACAAGGTGTGTACCTTAAAACCCACACCATTCAGCACAAGGGAGGGCACCTAGGACAGGCACTCTGCACAGAGTTGTTCCTCATGACAGAGCACAGACAGGGCAGGGTGCAAGTAGCCACCTGCATTTGTATCAAGGTTGGCTCGGAAGTTGATGTCCTTGCTCCTATTGTTTTATATACTTCGCTACAACTTAGGAAGTTCCCAGTGTCTTGGCTACAAGACGGAGAAAAAAATGAAGGCACCAGAACAAACAGGCAAGGAGCAGCTGACCACCTGGGGAGTCTTTCTAAACACAGGCATATGTTCTTTCTGGAGTAGAACAGACAGGTCCCAGGGACAGCATCAGGAGAGAAGTCCCATCTATGCACTTGCAGCAGGGGGTTCATTTGCTCAAGGCAGGGAGCTAGAGTGGCAAAGATACCACGTGGAATCCCATGAAACAGTATAGGTGTACAGGACCTTTCCTTCCTTTACTTTTTTGCTCCAAGATCCCTTCTGGTACTGACGGGCCGGCCTTCCTGCATTGCAGCCTTTATCCCTTTCCCCAAAGATCACGACTGCAGAACATTCATGCACTTTTCTTCCATGATGAGACTCACACAAGTGTATGCCATTCCAGCAGCACTGACGGTATTCAACAGATAATTGGTAAAAATGAATGTGGGAGTAAGGAAAGCCTCACCATTCCCAAGGTCTGAAAACAGAAGGTGCCCAAATGTCTCCACATTCTGTACACCTAAGCTGGGCACTGGTAGATGAGGTCCACAACATATCACAACTCACAGAGCTACAAAGAATCTACTTTATTGAACATTCAGGGTCAATTTCTCTTCTTGCTCTTGCCTGTGACCTTGGCTGGTATGAGGACTGGAGCTGCTGCCTGGTACAGGGTGGAGGAGATCTTGTTGATGTAGTACAGACCAACCATGGAGAAGATGAAGCTATATGGTGAAGACAGAAAGGTCATGGCACCAGTGAGCATGCTGCCAGCCCGGTGCCTTCTAGGGAAGATACTAGCATCAGGAAAAGAATCCAAGTTCAAGTTTAGGAAAATGGGGAAGGACAAAAGAGGGAGAACAGAGGGAGAAGTAGCTGTGGAAGGAAAAAGTCTGGCACCATCAGAGCAGGATCCAGTGCCAAAGAACAGAATGCTACACCCCTTACCCAGCTGTCAGGAACATACCAGGTGGTGACACAGACTCGGTGGATGAGACCAGATGCAAAGAGAGCCAACAGGAGGCACAGGAGAACTAGGGAGGCAAGAAGAAACAAGGAGGGCAACGGTCAGAATGGAAATATTACGCATCCGCATATGGAGTCCAGGAGAAATCCGGGGCTCTCTGAATCCTGGGGAACCTGCTTAGAAGGGTATGCATGACAACAGCAGGAGGATTCAGATGACCTTAATGATACCCAGAACATGGAGGTAGGAGGTTGAGTGCGGTGACTCACACCTAGAATCCCAACACTTTGGGAGGCTGAGGTGGGCAGTTCACTTGAGCCAGGAGTTTGAGACCAGCCTGAACAACAAAGTGAGACCCATCTCTTAAAAAAAAAAAAAAAATTGAATTAAAAGAAAATTAGCCAGGCATGGTAGTACACTGGTACACATGCCTGTAGTCCCAGCTACTCAGGAGGCTGAGGTGGGAGGAACCCTTGAGCCAGGAAGTTCAAAGCTGCAGTGAGCTATGATTGCACCACTGCACTCCAGCCTGAGCAACAGAGTGAGACCCTGTCTCAAAGAAAAAAAAAAAAACATGGATGTAGATGTATGCCTTTTTTTTTTTAATCAGCTCTGCCCCAAATCTCATGTAACTTCCCTATCCTGGCTTTCCTCCCATAAAAGGGAAAAGGAAAGGTGATGGACAACAGAGTCTGAAGGGCAAGATGTGTTCCCATTTGGGGAACCCCGTTAAGCCCTTTCCAACAGAAGCCAGACAATGAGAATCAATTCATTAAGCTGGGTGACCGGTGGTGGAAGTTGAGGGCCTTGCTCCCTGGACACAGGTTGGAGGGCAGAGTGCTTGGATTCACTTGTTCATGGGGGCAGGAAATGATTTTAGGTTACCTGGAATATGATGGGAGAGAAGATGAGAGGACAAAAGCAAGGGCACACAGGGCTGCACCTGCCCAAGTGGAGAGGGCAGAGAAGGCGAAGTGGGCCAAGAGCTTTGCCCCACCACAATGGCATCTTTTTCTTTTCTTTTTTTTTTTTTAATTTTTGAGGCAGAATCTCACTCTCTCGCCCAAGTTGGAGTGCAGTGGTGCAGTTTCAGCTCACTGCAGCCTTGACCTCCTGGGCTCAAGCGATCCTCCCACCTCAGCTTCCCAAGTACCTGGGACTATAGGTACGCACCACCATGCCCAGCTAATTTTTGTACTTTTTGTAGAGACAGGGTCTCTCTCTGTTGCCCAGGCTGGTCTTGAATTCCTGGGCCCAGCACTTCTGCCAGCCTCCACCTCCCAAAGTGCTAGGATTACAGGCACGTGTCATCCCACCCAGCCAACGGTTTCTTTCAGAAGCAACTGAAAAGCCGGGCACGGTGGCTCACACCTGTAATCCCAGCACTTTGGGAGGCCGAGGTGGGTGGATCACCTGTTGTCAGGAGTTCAAGACCAGTCTGACCAACATGGTGAAACCCTGTCTCTATCAAAAATACAAAAATTAGCCAGGTATGGTGGCGCATGCCTGTAATCCCAGCTACTCGGCAGGCTGAGGCGGGAGAATCGCTTGAACCCAGGAGGCAAAGGCTGCAGTGAGCTGAGTTCACACCACTGTACTCTAGCATAGGTGACAGAGCGAGACTCCATCTCAAAAAAAAAAAAAAAAAAAAAAAAAGAAGAAGTGAAGATAATACATATGGAAAGAAACAAAATCTAACAGAGAGAAGTCCCAGGGCTACTGGATGGAAGGAACTCTGAAGCCTGCAAAAGGGCTATGCGGAGAAAGCAAGTCCTAGAGTGGGGCAAAGAAATGAGGGCAGCCAGGCCCAGTGGCTCACACCTGTAATTCCAGCACTCTGGGAGGCTGAAACAGGAGGATCACTTGAGCCCAGGAGTTCGAGACCAGCCTGGGCAATATGGTGAAACCCATCTCTACAAAAACTTAAAACAGTAGCTGGGTATGGTGGCACTCACTGGTAGTCCCAGCTACTGGTAAGAGGTAAGACTGAGGTGGGAAGATTGCTTGAGTCCAGGTCAAGACTGCAGTGAGCCATGATCACATCACTGCACTCCAGCCTGGGTGACAGAGTAAAACCTTGTCTCAAAAAAAAGAAAAGATTAAGGGCAACTGTGATAGATCTTTGTTTTGCCAGATGAAGGTTTTACATGAGATTGCATCTGCTGTGAATTTATGAGCACGTGGCATTCCTTAAGTAATCTGGTCGTGATGCTTAATTTGCTTTATAAACTTAATTCTCCATAAATAACTGAATCAATTCTTTTTTTTTTTTTTTTTTTGAGACGGAGCCTTGCTCTGTCGCCCAGGCTGGAGTGCAGTGACGGGATCTCGGCTCACTGCAAGCTCCGCCTCCCCGGTTCACGCCATTCTCCTGCCTCAGCCTCTCGAGTAGCTGGGACTACAGGCGCCTGCCACCTCACCCGGGTAGTTTTTTTGTATTTTTTTAGTAGAGACGGGGTTTCACTGTGTTAGCCAGGATGGTCTCGATCTCCTGACCTCGTGATCCGTCCGTCTTGGCCTCCCAAAGTGCTGGGATTACAGGCTTGAGCCACCGCGCCCGGCCAAATAACTGAATCAATTCTTGATTACATGAGCAATTGAACAAGAATTATTCCAAACAGGAAATAATCTAACAGTTATTCTGATTTGGTCAGGATTCCTGCTGCCATGGAAATTTGGTGCCTCTAGTATTTAGACTCTTCACAATCTCCTCGAATAAGTAGAATTCTCTAATACTGAGTCAATTTCACATCAGAACTCCACAGTGAATTTGGTCCTGCTGCTTCTTCTGGTGGGACCAAGGACCACCTCCCAGCGAAGAGATGCAAAACATCAGCCGAAATTTGCCTATTCCCCTCAAACCTTCCCTGGGAGCTGGCCAGAAGGTACCAAAGTTTCTTGCTTTCAAAGGCTTTCTCTTCCAGCTCCAACTCCAGGAGCTATACAAGATGCAGAATCGAAAAGCGTCATCTGTTTTCAGACAGCTTTAGTAAATATATTTCTCCTTAACAACCTTTAATACCTAAGCATCTGGAAATTCAATATCATGTTTCAGGAGGTTAAAGAGGAGAAAGTTCAAACACTCAAGCTCCAATATTCACTTACTCTCAGGGAAGATCTTTGCTTGGAATCCTTTGCCAAAGACAAGATTCTCCAGATTATTGAAGGCCTGGTTGAGGGAGTTAAGGAGTAGGGCGTGCAACTGGGGCAGAGCTGTGTGGGGAAGGGGAAGGGCACATGCCTACGTGGCCCGCCCCCTCCAACCGCAGGGAGGATACAGTGAGCGAGAACACGAAGAGACCCGAGCCAAGCAGGCCGCCCTGGATGGTGAGCCACTCGGTGGAGGCCAGCTGACGGCTGTACATCTGCATCCCAGCGAAGAGCAGCAGGGACAGGAGGGAGGAAAGCGCCAGCGAGGTGCCTGTACCTACCACTAGAGGGGATGGGAGAAGGGACGGAGAGTCAGGCTCCGCCCTCCCTCCGGCAAGCTACGGGCAGATCGGCCGGTCCAGAAGCTCGGTGGGCCGACCCCTCCAAGAACTCCCGGGACTGCAGCCACATGCCCCAACTCCCCACACCGCGCGGCAACCCCTAGGTATTCCCCAGCCCCGGACACCCCGAACCCTCCCGTCCAGTGGAAATGCCCGCTCCCGGTGGAACCCAGGACACGTCAGCTCTGCCAGGAGAGGACAAGGAAAGCTTTTCCACCCAAACCCCGACCCCCTCTAGCACTTCCTGGGGACCCCACCAGTCCCGTTACCCATCATGCCCCTCCCGTGAGTCCAACCGGCGCCTCTGGCCAAGAAAGGGAAGCTGAGGCGGGTGCGGTTAGCTATGCGCATGCGTTAGCGCTTAACGCGGACTTGCTGCTCCCCGCGTTCTCCTCTTTCGTCCTCTCAGTGCCTGGACGCAGCGCCCTCTTGCGACAGGGAGGAAATAATGCGTCGAGGGGGCATCCTCGGCCACCGCCCTGGTCCCCAGGCTTTCCTCATACCTGGTGCGTCTGCTGCCACTCTGTACAAGCTGCACTTATCTCTTTAAGTCATTGGGCCCGTGCCTGTGGCATCTATCCCATCTCTGTCTTCTTTGCCATTTCTGTCATCTCTAGTGCACGTTCCTCAAACCTCCCTGCCCCATGACCATTGCCTCAACATCTCTTAACCCAAAATTTAGTGCTCTCAATCAGGAACCCATTTTCCTCCGAAACTAATCCCCCGCTTTATATGAGTAAAATTAGGAGCCAATGAAAAACGAGAATATAAGAAATGGCTCCCCCCTCAAATACCTTTCCATATTCCCCAACCCCCCGACCGGCTTTCGAGAACCACGTGGGGAGAACTATTTCCCACCCCCTACCCCGACGGGCGCTGTTCGAGGCTGGTCCCTGGAGCATGCGCAGTGACACCTCACCCCCCAGCCCTCCTCACACCCCCACTGGGCTCCTGCATTAAGCCCAGGGTTCGCAGCCGCAGCCGGGATCGGGCACCCAGGGGCGGGCGGGCACGGTAGGGCCATGGCAGAGGGTGAGGATATGCAGACCTTCACTTCCATCATGGACGCACTGGTCCGCATCAGTGTGAGTTAAGGTGGGGTCGAGGGAAGGGGAGGGGGCGTATAGGGTTCTGTGGCAAGCTGGGACCTGGAACAGGTGGGGATCCAGGAAGATGCTGGGATGTAGACAGGGGACTAGCGATGGCAGAAACGGCTGGGAGGGTCGGGATGCAGGTATGAGAGGGTAATCCCGGGAGCAGCCCGGAGGTGAGTGCCTTGAAGGCGTCGGTGTGCTGGGGCGTGAGGAGGAGCTAGGAGCAGCCCAGACGCAGCGGGTGGGCTGGGGTGGCCTCCAGCAGTGCACCGGGGCTGGGGCTTCAGGGTAAAGGCGCTGTTATGAGGAGGGGAAGTGTGAGCTTGGATATTTTCCAAGAAAACTGAGGACAGGTGGGGGATGATGTAGGAGCCGCCCCACAGTGCAGTTCCCAATTTGGACCCCTCCCCAAGACCCCACCCCACGCACCCCCACTCAGGGCTGCTTCCGAGCCTGCGGTTGTCATGGCAACCCTTGCCCGGCTCTCCCAGGGGCGGTGCCAACCGTGTTCCCCCCCACCACTTCCTCCCCCCCTCCTTGTCCCTCCCTCCTTTGTGTCAGCTGCGCCCCTGACCGGGATGGCTGCGAAGAGAGGGACCAAGGTGAGGTGTGGGGGTGGGGCATAGCCTGAGGACCCCCACTCTCGCCACCAAGAGGGGGAGGGGACTTCCGGTGGGGAGGGGGCGAGTAGGCGGGGCTCTTGATTCTCCCACTAGCTCGGAGAAGGGGGTGCCGCTGACCGGGTTGCGCTGCAGGAGAGGGCGGGAGGGCCTGATGGGGGCGAAGGGGAATGGGTTGGTAAGAGGGATTGGAGGAGAACGATGGGGAAGTGAAGGATGGGGAATGGAGGCTGGAGTGGCCGCAGGCCGGAGCCGCGGCAGGAGGACGTATGGAGCGAGCAGGATGGAGCGCCAGCTTCGCCTGACTATCGGGAATCACGGCATGGGGGTGCTGCTAGAGAAGGGAGTGGGGGTCTGCATGGAGCTGCAGAATGGGCGGTGTCCTTGAGAAAAATGCCAGGGGCAAGCTGCCCACAGATGGGGGATGGAGGCAGGTGAGGGGGCTGCCAGCTGGGGCTGCTGCAGCTGGAGAAATGGGGATTGGGCTTGAGGCTGGAGCAGGCACAAGCTTCAACCGTCCCTCCTCTGGGCCTTTAGCTCTGCCGCGGGGAAAGAAGCAAGGGACAGAGGTCTGGGAAGGTCTGAACCAGCCCAAGGCAGGTGCTGGGGAAAAGCTACAGATAGCTTGTCTTGCTCCTTCCTCAGACCCCTAGGGTATCCAAGGGCAGCCAAGGGGCTGCTGAGGTATGCCTAGGTGTCCAAGCGCTGACCTAGCCTCCTGGTCCCTCCACAGACCAGCATGAAGAACATGGAGAAGGAACTGCTGTGCCCAGTGTGTCAAGAGATGTACAAGCAGCCACTGGTGCTGCCCTGTACCCACAACGTGTGCCAGGCCTGTGCCCGGGAGGTCTTGGGCCAGCAGGGCTACATAGGACATGGTGGGGACCCCAGCTCTGAGCCCACCTCTCCTGCCTCCACCCCTTCCACCCGCAGCCCCCGCCTCTCCCGCAGAACTCTCCCCAAGCCAGACCGCCTGGACCGACTGCTTAAGTCAGGTGGGACTGGGGCCTGTAGGGTGGGGATGGGAACGCTGAGCTATTCATCAGGAAGATGGAAGAAGTCCATCACTGGTCAGGGGCATCTGTCTGTCTTTCTAGGGGGTGGAGATACTGCTTACGCAGGCTCTAATGAGAGCTGAGCTCTGGCACAATGAAAATCTAATTTAATTGAATAGGCTTCCCCACATCCAGCCAGCTGTAACTCTCACGTCCTCTACCTCCCTGGTTCACCCACAGGCTTTGGGACATACCCTGGGAGGAAGCGAGGTGCTTTGCACCCCCAGGTGATCATGTTCCCGTGTCCAGCATGCCAAGGTGATGTGGAGCTTGGGGAGCGGGGTCTGGCAGGGCTTTTCCGGAACCTGACCCTGGAACGTGTGGTGGAGCGGTACCGCCAGAGTGTGAGTGTGGGAGGCGCCATCCTGTGCCAGTTGTGCAAGCCCCCACCACTAGAGGCCACCAAGGGCTGCACAGAGTGCCGCGCCACCTTCTGCAATGAGTGCTTCAAGCTCTTCCACCCCTGGGGCACCCAGAAGGCCCAGCATGAGCCCACCCTGCCCACCCTCTCCTTCCGCCCCAAGGTGAGCCAGCCCTTCCAAGCCCTGGGGAGGGAGGGACATGCTGCTGCAGGTGGGTGGGGGTGCCTGGCATTGTGGGTTTCCAAAAGGAAGTGGGAAGGGTTTTTCAGTGCTAAGCACTTACCTCTGTTATCTGTAACAAAGTCACTGGACAAATCATTCAACAACTTCGGGCCTCCATCTCATTTACTACAGGGGGATTGTAGTATCTGCCCTGCAATGTCCATACCTAAAGGGTTGCTGAGAGGAGGGTGTGAGATAATGTTTGTTCACTATCTGCACACTGAAAAGGTCTGTGTGCATTCACTCACTGAACAAATATTTAATGAGCACCTATGTGCACGGGGCTATTCTAGGTGTTGGAGATACAGCAGTAAACAAGATAGACAAGGTTAATTATTAACTATCAGGCTAAGATTAATTGGCATCATTATTACTGTTATTACCACATATCCCAATGAGAGAGATGAAAGGAGGTGCAATGCTGGTGAAATGGGCACCGCCCGGAAACTGCAGGAAAGGCTCTCTTTGATGCCAGTATGTACCACCAGGTGGCACTGTGGAGCACCACCAGCGGGTGTCTCCACTCCCATCTTGCCAGTGGAGGGAGGGCACCAAACTGCTGTAGTGGTAGCGTAGTACCCTTACCCACACCATTGTCTGACCATCACATTGTTCTTTGTGTCCCTAGGGTCTTATGTGCCCAGACCACAAGGAAGAGGTGACCCACTACTGCAAGACATGCCAACGACTGGTATGTCAACTCTGCCGGGTGCGGCGCACCCACAGCGGGCACAAGATCACACCAGTGCTTAGTGCCTACCAGGCCCTCAAGGTAAGGACCCCCCTTATCCAACCCTAGTGCTAACTCACACTCTTACCCTCTTGCACCTCCTCCCAACTGCTGGCTTCTGCAGAGCTGGGCATGATGCCCACCTCTTTCTTCCCCCTCAGGACAAGCTGACAAAGAGCCTGACATACATCCTGGGAAACCAGGACACGGTACAGACCCAGATCTGTGAGCTGGAGGAGGCCGTGAGGCACACCGAGGTGAGGGAGGGCACGGAGGTGGGCCCTGGGCCCTGCCTGGGAGTAGGGGCAGGAAGGGGGTGTGGGTGGTCATGACCCAATCACCTCGTTGCTAGCTCAGGAAGCCCGTGAGGTGTCCAGGTTCTGGTTAAACCAGGTTTGCAGGAACACCAGTGCCCCAGGCCAGGCTGTACCTGGGCTGCAGGGGGAGCAGGGTGGCTATAGCTCAGGAGAGAGCTCGAAAAACCCCACACACGTCGCTCAAAAAACCCTATGCATAGCTCAGATGCTCTCAGGCTCAAGTGCCTACCGAAGATGGCACACATCCCCAGTACTAGAGTGAGGTGATGACTGATACCTTCTGCCAGGTTGATTGAGCTGGCTGACATGGGGATGGACAACTAAGGATGGCATAGATGCCAGTGGACATTAATTAGTGCAGTCAAAGTGGACATTAGGGTAGCCATGGTCTTGTTCATTTGGATGAGTCACTAAGGGGCAGGGATTATGATGTGGGGATCCAGGAAGGTTGGCACAAATGACCTGGAGTTGAGTCCATCTAGAGGTCCCTTTGCAACCATGAGCCCAGGCCCTGTAGGAATGGGTGAGCAGGATTTCCCCAGATCCCTTGTAACCTTAGCCATGCTGTGGTGTCCAAAGAGGCCAGCACAAGTGCTGCCTCCAAAAAGAAGATAGTAAGTCATGCATCCTTTGGGTGTTGCTCCCTGGGCAGGTGAGTGGTCAGCAGGCCAAGGAGGAGGTGTCACAGCTGGTGCGGGGGCTGGGGGCTGTGCTGGAGGAGAAGCGGGCATCACTGCTTCAGGCTATTGAAGAATGCCAGCAGGAGCGGCTGGCCCGTCTCAGCGCCCAGATTCAGGAGCACCGGAGCCTGCTGGATGGCTCAGGTCTGGTGGGCTATGCCCAGGAAGTACTTAAGGAAACAGACCAGCCTTGCTTTGTGCAAGCCGCCAAGCAGCTGCACAACAGGTACTCAGGGGCATGGGATCCTAGGGGGGCAGGGACATCATGGGTGTGACCAACATCTAGGACAATGTCTACAGTACT